AAAATTTCGTGTTAGGCAAAAAAGTTACACCACTGAATCCTATGAAGGCCCTAAAACAATTCCTGAAAGGAATTGTTTTAGGGCCTTCTTATATTTAATTTATACGAACGATACCACAAACCGAAACCTCATCACTTCAACTTGCGGATGATACAGCAATACTTAGTGTCCATTCAAATCCCATGACAGAGAGTTACATAATACAAGAACATTTAAAAGTAACAGAAGAGTTGCTAACAATTTGGAGAATTAAAGTCAATGAGTCTAAGTGTATACAAGTAACATTTACTCTAAAAAAGACACATGCCCTTCAATCTCTATAAATGGGACTCACCTGGTAAAACCACATGGACAAAAGTGTTACTCAAACGAAATTGAAAATTGCGAACTTGCATTGAATTGTAGGCTCAAAGTCCCAACTAAGTCTAGAAAACAAAGTTTTACTTTTTAATATGCTTATGGGATCCAAATTTGTGGCTCAACATCTAAATCTAGCCTATATAGAATTCAAAGACTGCAGTCTAAAACCTTGCAAAGCCCCATGGTATATAAAAAACTCCACAATTCACAACGATCTTGGGACTAAACCCGTCATCGAGGAAATAGAGAACCTGTTTAAAAATTCCTCATTCAGGTTATCTAACCACCCAAACTTTCTGGTTAAAAAATTATTACAGCAGAACTACCTTAAGCGATTAAAGAGAAAGGATTTACGTTTGAACTGTGACTAAGGGCTCTGCCGCATCCAATTATTCTATATCGGAGTTGTGATCCGCATATATCCTTCATGATATTACAATTTACTTCAATTTATCTTTTTGTTAAATTTTAAACATGAGAGTTTGGTATCCTTAATGATATCTACATAAACACATTCTTTGATAAATATAAGTTATATTCGCAAATTATTGCACTTTGCTTACTTTGTTAATCTGTACGATGGTAATGATTAACTTGTTCTAGGAATAAGAATTAGCGTTAAAATTTTCGAAATTATTGTTAGTTTGCAAGAAGGAAAGATTAAATTAAACATTACTCAAGTACTCGTTGCTCAAATGCTTAGTTAAGGGTAGTAAGATGATGATATTGAGATAATTTTTTTTTATACACAATTCATTTATTTACTGGATCTGCTATATTATAAGCCTAACAGTAAGTGTACAAATCTTAAAAACTAAATTACAAATATGATAGCTCGAGTTATTTAACTCTGAGCCTTTTTCAAACTACGGCGTCTCCTTAGAAGGCGAAAACATCTCTTCGCTGCAGGCGGGAATTTCTCGGTGGGTTGCATAAAGCATTAGCTAACGGATTTGGATGTTTTCTTAGCTTTGGGAGGTACTTCGTCTTGCTTCTTTTAATTTCAGGCCTAACCAGTAAAATACCAAGGTCTTTATGAATATTTACGTTACGAACGTATCATGGTGCGCCCATTGGTGCTCTTAAAATTTTAGACTGGAACCTCTGTATTTTATCAATATTAGTTGCACAGGTCGTATCCCACAGTTGAATACCGTACATCCAAATTCTGTTTAATACTGCGTTGTAAATAAGTACTTTGCAGTCTAGTTTTAGAACGGAGTTTTTATTTAAGAGCCAATTTAAACTAGCTGCTTTTAATTTCATGTGTAGTACTTTTGCCTCTATGTGTCTCTTCCAAGTGAGACGTCTATCTAAGTCTTCATACCATTTAAGCAAATCGCAGGACATGATTGCTGTCTTAAAGTAAATGTAACGTGTTTACACTTTTGTTCATTAACTTTAATTCTCCAGTTTTCTAACCATTCTTCGATGAGGAGTAAATGATCACTAATCGTTTTTGCTGCTCTTTCAGGGCATTTATCCCGACATGAAACAGCTGTGTCATCCGCAAAGGTAGATGTTTGCACTTTTCGGTTTAATGGGATGTCTGCCACGTATATGATATATAAAATAGGCCCGAGGACGCTACCCTGCGGGACACCACCTTTTACCGAATACTCCTCACTGATAAATTCAGGTTGTTTAATTGTAAATTGTATGTTAGTCAGATAGGACTTAAGTATCATATAAAATTGAACAGGCAGAGCTTTATGTATTTTGTACGGTAAGCCTTTATGCCAGACTTTGTCGAACGCTTGTGCTACGTCAAGAAAGATTGCACAACAGTACTCCTTGAGCACGAATGCCTTTCTGATTTCATTAGTTATTCGGTTAACTTGTTCAATAGTATTATGCTTTTCACGAAAGCCGAATTGGTGACCTGGTATCACATTGTTTCGGTGGAGAAAAGGAGATATTTTTGATAGCAGATTTTTTTCAAATAATTTGGAAAGACTGGAAGCCGTCTGTGTGTAGTCTTTGCCTGGTTTGGCTATGATTAATATCTGCGACTTTTTCCACGCGTTTGGAAAGTAATTTAGTTTTAGAATAGCATTAAAGAGTTCAGAGAGCAATGCTTGTGCAACTCTTGGTAGCTCTATTAGCATTTTTGAGAGATTTCTTTGGTTTCAGTTTCTGTATGGTGTTTTCCACTCCTGCTTTTCCTGACCGTTAACAGCAAATTCCGGCAGAATATAATTATTAGTTGCGTCATTTGGCTGGAATGCATTACTTAAATGCTTTGCAAAGCAATTTGCCTTTTCTTCGTTACTACGTGTCCACGTGTTGTGCTCTCCAGAGTGAGTATTTTTTGGCAGAATTTGGCGCTAGTGTTTCTATGTATGCCTTGGCATTGTGATCTTCTGCTTGCTTCAATGCACTTTTCTGCTTCCTCTCTGTTGCTTTCAACTGTAACTTTGCTGCTGGAGAGCGATATTCTTGCCACTCTCTCCGCAAACTGCGCTTATTCTTTACTACTTCTTCTATTGCTGTATTTGGTATGATTTTTGGGCACGTAGTAGGCTGTTTACTTTTTGGAGTTGCTATGGTTGCCGCAGAAACAAGGCCATTACTGAACTCATTAATGTAGTCATCAATATCGTTTTCACAATTCAATATTGGATTGATGTTAATATAACTGCTAGTATACTTTTTGTATTTTAGCCAGTTGGTTTCTTCGTTTGTTAGCCTTGATTATTATGCAACTATGCTCGGACGCTCGTAAATTTTTATTAGAACTGGTGAGTGGTCTGAAGATAACTCAGCAACTGTCACAGCTGATACAAGTTGCCTGTCAATTTTTCTTGAGACCGAAAAGTCTATTATGTCAGGCATTTTCTTCCGATCGGTAGTCCAGTATGTTGGTTGACCTGGGGAAACACAATCTAAACTGTTACGTTTGTTTATAATGGTATTGTACAGCAAACGGCCTTTGGGGTTTATTAGACGGGATCCCCAGTATACATGCTTTGCATTGTAGTCTCCTCCTGCATCATCTTTCTTTGACGTGCATTCAGACGTGGGATGTAGGTCCCCACATGCTACGCAAAAACTACACAGTGTGCAATAGAATTTAGTATGGCCGAATTCTTTACAGTTGGTGCATTGCACTTGGCCGTTTCTTTTGTGTGGATCTTCTACTGTTACACTACGATGCATCAAATATTTTAAATTGTATATGGGATGAGTTTCGGGCTCTAGTTCTACCTTAAACATTGGCTGGGGAACTTCGTTTCTATTAGGCTTTTTCACTGTAAGTTTGAATTTTTGTTTCATCGATGATACCTTTTTTTTTAAAGGAACAACGTGAAAGTTATTAGTGCCGACTCTTTTGGTATAATTATTAACTAACGTGCTTGAGACACGTTCGCGCAAGTAAATTGGCGGTGGTTTGGCATTTGCAACTGTGATAGTACCCTTTACGCTGCCCTCACTTAATAAAGCAAATCGGTTGCTACTGGAGGGTTCTTGGCTTTTTACATTAGTTCCACTCATTGGGTTTACCGCTTGCCTGTTTTTTTTTTTCATTTGTATTGGTGGGTGATTTCCTGCTGGGTGTTTGCTTGCTGTTACCTTTTTTCTCTTGTTTTTCTGCCGACTTCGTCGTCTGTTTAGCGCTAGCTGAGTACTGCTGAAAGTCTTCTGCTTGCAGGTTGCTTTCTTTTGCCGTTGTTTATGTTGGCGTTGTTTGCTCGAAATAAGAAAAATAGGCCTTCGGTCCGGCCGGATTTAGCTGAGGCACACTCATTTTTGTTTATGTACTCGCTGGATAGCTTTTTGTTTATTTTTCTGTTTATACTTATTCTTTATTAATATTGTGTTGTATTAATTTATTTGGAGTTTAGTAGTGATTTCCTTTTGTTTTTAAGTGTTCTTCAGATTACACTAAAGGCACTAGCTTAGTTATAGTTATTTTGAATTTTCCACTGTATGTTTTATTTTATTTTATTTAATTTTTATAAGCAGTGCTTAATTGCTTGAGTGCTCTTACAGCTCTTTCACAAAATTGATATTGATTGACATAACTGGCCCCAACAAACGCGGCGTGAATTCTGCTTTCTCCAGGCTTGATAAAGAAGCGAGGCGAATGGTTCTGTATATCTCCTACCATCACACAAACAGTCATCGCATTCACGACATGGCTTCCACGTCACTGTTGCCAGCCATAACTTTGAAGTCGTAGACAATTTCGTCTATCTAGGAACAAGCATCAACACCAATAATAACATCAGCCTTGAAATCCAGCGCAGAATAACGTCTGCCAACTGGTGCTACTTGCATTGAACAGGCAATTGAAAAGTAAAGTCCTCTCTCGACGAACGAAAACCAAGCTCATCGTTCCCGTCCTGCTAAATGGAGCGGAAGCATGAACGATGCCAACATCTGATGAGTCGGCGTTAGGTGCTTTCGAAGGAAAGACTTTGCGTAAGATTTTTGGTCCTTTGCACATTGGTAACGGCGAATATCGCAGATGATGGAACGATGAGCTGTATGAGTTATACGGCGACAGCGGGGGATGACAAAGGTCAGGTAGAGAAAGACTTTGCTGTACTTGGTATTTCGAATTGGCACCAAACAGCAAAAAAAAAAGAAAATGTGGTTAAATTATCTAAAATCGCCTAAGCGGTGTCTACGCCAGTAAAGTAAGTAATAAGAAGAAGTTGAAGCAATTTTGGGAGACGGAGAATAACGAACGAATACCACAGAGCCGTGTGTAAAAAATATTATGAATTGGAATTTATTTTCCAGGAAAAGGCAGAAAACACAAGAGAAGGTGGCCCTAATGTATAGCGTAAATTGCCTGCTCCCATAGGAATGAAAAATTCGGTGGAATGGTTGCCTGCGAGGAAGTTTTGACTGCAGGTGCAGGAGGCCATGCCAAATGACGTGGATTTTTGTTGCCATTCTTCCACATTTGCTTCAGCAACCAATGGATATAGTACCACAGTATCCATAGTTATAATTTATTTTTTTGTTTTCAATAACAATTGTTTATTTCACCAAATTATCATATGTCGATAATACACAAAAAAATGAAAATGTAAATTTTTACTTGCATTTCTGTCACTTTTCAATTACCATAAGCAAAAACAAAAATTGTTCGTTGGAAGAACGTTTTTCTCGGGCCAGTGTGTAGTAAACAATTTCAAGCAAACCGACGAAACTCCGACCTGGTCTTCCAAAAATACGTGACCGTGAGGAACGTAAAATAATAAGTATGGTGAATAATGTCAACAAATATAATTGAAAACGGCAATAATATATTTGAAAAAATTTTTATATATTTCGCTTGTAGGTGAATACACGAAAACGCTCTGAATTTGCTCATAATTAAGCGATTGAGGGTCAGCTTGAATTTAATAAATCGACAATGTACAATAGTTTTAAACAAAAAAGTAAATAAATGAAGCAAAGTGCGGATAATCTTAGCTGACCTTCGACAATTTGGATAGAATTACGATCCGAAGCATGCTAACATTTTGGCTCTTGTGCAATATTCATAGACATTTTAAAGCGCCTCCTCAGTTATTAAATCATAATTCTATTGATTTAGGATTTGTTGGATAAAAAAATTTGCAAGCATGTAATTCGAAAGAAGTTTCATGCATGCAGAATAGTCAGATATTACATCCGAGGAAACAGGAAAGTTGGTGAATTCAATCCGACAAATTATTATTTTATTCATAATTTTCAATGATATTACGAATTTAACTAAATTGCATATTTACATTGTGTTTTTTCTTTTCTTAAATAAATGCGTCAGGTGAACGCAGACTTTATTTGCTGTATAGAGTATCGACAAATAAGAGGGTTAAGTTATTTGTAATTGGTATGATCTCCTTTTTGGTACTTTCTCTTTCGCGTATATAAATATGTATATGTACCAAATTTTTCTTCGAGTTAACGTATAGCGAGTATTTTACGAATACAGTAGACTTTTTGTGGATGCGCATTTACATTATAATAGAATACAATATATCCATCATGCAATTCTGGCTTATTGAGCAATTCGCTCCGATATATGACAACAAATCCAAAATGAAAAAATTAAGCGAATTCAAGGGAAACGAAAATTGCTAGTGCACTAGCAATGGGAGAAAAACTTTTCACACACTGCAATTATTGCTTCTGAAATTCTGCAAATTAAATTGCTGAAATCCGTTTTAGGGTGACCACACTATGAAATTGAAATTTTTCGATAGCAGAATAAGTTCTGGGTGGCACACGTCGTTATGGAAATTTGGCATAAAAGTACTGGATACTACCAAAATGACTTAACGATAATTTTAACGATTACACTATTCTCTAAGCACAGGATAACGACTTTCGGATCGCAAAGAAGACTTAGCGATAATTCTGACGATTTTAATATTCGATGTACTTATTTTAACGATCCTCGCTCTCGTTGTTGTCGGAGACTTCTCGACAAATCGCAATCGTTTTTAGCGACATCGACAAAATATTTTTATTTCTTTAAGGTTGAAATAAGTAAATCGGGAAATTGCCCAAGTTTTATAAAAATTAAAATAAAATTATAAACAAAATTAGCTTTTGAGCATTAGATAAGACTTCCCATTACGTCGCCATTTGTTGGAGGAAATATTGGGGCTATCGATTGCGAAGAAGCCTATGTCAACCTTCAATCTACCAACAAGCCAATGGTGAGAGTAAATTTTTTTCAATTACTATTGATCCTATATGATCCTTATCAAAAGATTAAATCGGCAAATGTCAAGAACAATGTCAAGAGTGCGGCACAATTATTTTGTGGTTTTCGCATATTTTGACGTTTTGTTAAGCAGTGGTGCCACATTTTCTTCATTTTAATAAAATGGAAATGTCCATTGTCGATTATCGTAAAAACTAAGTTAAAGAATCGCATAATCGTTAACGCGAGCGACAAAATTCGGAACTTTGCGATGCGCCAACTCGTGTCGATAAAAATTATAGAATTGCACTGCAGGACTCGAACCCTGGCCTTCCGAATGCCAGTGCGCAATGCTAACCACTCGACTCTTGCGGCCGCCGGCTCAAAAACACAAAAGCCACTGGTGCTGATGGTGTTCCAGCTAAGCTGTTCAAGGCTGAAGACTAAGCAGAGCACATGCACCAGCTCTTAATCGCAGCTTGGTCTGAGGAATAAACGGCCGAAGAATGGAATCACACGGAACCCTTAAATATCACTTATAATAATACCTAATAACGTTTAAAAAGATTTTATTTAATCAAATCTTTTGCCATTTTTACACATAAAAAATGCATTCTCACGTTTGTTTACTTTAGTAAAAAAAATGAAGTATACATGTCCGTTAGAATCAGAAAACCTGTTCTGCCACATCTTTGAAGAGTAAGTATATTACATTAGTATCCCTTTCCAACTTACAAAGGTGTTTTACCAAAGAACGTATATTAATAAGAAGAGAAAAGAACTGTTAACCGATTTGAAAATTCTCTTGAGTAGAATAGTGGCGTGCCACAGCCGGAATACACCTTTCTTCAAATTTCTCCTGATTTTCGTAGCACAGCGGGAAAATTATAACGGCGAAACGAAATTACGTACCAAAAGAAAAATGAGCCGATTGAATCGATGTTCATAAAAATGAAAAAAATCCTGAAGGAATCGGTCTTTTTTTTTATGTCCCCTAGCATGCCTCTACTTCCCTCTTTGGCCTTAGCTTGGGACTCGCACTTCATCCCTAAAATCTAGAATTTTTGCACTTTGTCTAGCTTATGTGACGAACGGACAACTTGAAATTACTTGCCTCACAATATGAGCTAATAGGCAAACAACAAATTTCCCCAGAACGTATATATGCGTAAATTGTTGTTGCTTCATATTTCGGGAAGATGTACGATTTTATAATTTTTGTTACGAGATTTCTTATACGCGGCTGTACTATGTGAGCAGAGTACATTGGGTTTGTTCTACTAACGGTTTTAAAATAATCGAGTAAACTCTATGTAAAAAACATCATGGCATGGTGAGGTAAATGGATTTAGCTAGGTCTATTCCTCCGTCTCTATACACGATAGCTCGAGTAAGAACTGAGATGGTTTAAACATATAAATATTAGCCGAATATCTCTCTTCAACTCGAATTTAGTCTTCCTTACATGTTTTAGTTACCGTCCCGATGAAGCAAATGTTGTATGAATTTGCTTTATTGTAGGGGCATTCGTTTATGAATGAAAATGTATTGTGTGCCTTTAACATATACATATTAAATTGCTTAAGTGTATGTTTTTTCACCTTGTCGCAAACTCGACAACAATTTCCGACTATTGAAAAAATTTCTGACCGAAACGGGTTGTTGGTGGAGGGAGCAAGGAAAAGGGGATCTCACTTTTATGCCTAGTCTACTTTTCTTCATTGAAATCAAATATTCTAGAATCTTCTGGAACTTCTAGAATATTTTAGAATTTTAGCATTTGTCATCACCCTCGCCACAAACTCAGCTTGTGGACAAGGTCCATGCGGAAAAGGCAGGAAAATTTCTTGATGGGCAATATGCGTTGATAGGCGAACAGAAAATTTTACAGCACGATTCTTATTTGCATCATGTTGTTGTTGTTGTAACCGCAAAATTATTCCCCAAAGTACTTTTTAGGGAATGTTGCGGGAGTGACAGTACTTGGCCGGATAAAAATCCGAGTCGTTCCGGTATAAAGACCTTACGACAGGCATGCCTTACCGCGGGTAAATTCTTGAGCCCCTAACCCGCAGGGGGTCTATTTGCATCACTTCTGTAGTCGGTGATTGAATTTTATTAGTGGCAAGAATTTTAGGCAGTGCTTGTAGACGACTTATGAATGTTTCTGGTTGAAGGAAGAAGAGAATGCTAATGATTTTGTTTTTGCGATTTTTTTCAACGCAGCGAAGAAGCAACTCGTTATGAATGAACGCACTTTGATTTAGGGCGCAGGCGTCTATGAATAAAAATCTTATTGTTGTATTTAAGATCAGTACATACATATATGCATGTAATTCTTGATTTTTAATCAAACATCTCAATAATTTCTAAAAAATACAATTTATGAATAAATAACCTTCCTTATAGAACAACGCTATTGCGAAATGCGGACGGCAAATCGTCACTTACTATTTGATAATATAAATATTCATTGAACCAAAAAAGAAACTTGTACACAAAAGCCATCGTCTACAATTAAGAATATCTCCAAAGCCATTACAGCTTTTGGGCTAGAACCAAAAGTAAATTAAAGTAAATTATATATGCTTTCAAAATTTTTGCCTGATATTTTCTAAAAAATGCATTTTCTTACTTCAAATTTAAAAAGTACACGACAACTTTATTATAAGCAGCAAAAAAAAAAATATACACAAATTTTTCTACTAAAATTATATAACATAAACAGATTAATTAGGATGTAAGTATAATAAAGCTTATTACTATTGATAACCTTTGTTCGAAAGTGAACTGCTACCTTCCCGATCTTTCTCACTTCTTTACTGCGCGACGGCTAAAAATGCAACCGACTAAATCCCCGGCTACCCTCTAAATCTGCTTGATGAAGGAGTACAGGCTTGAATTAGATGCGAAAGTCGATGACGTAAAAATTCCGACCATAACAATAGCCTGCACTCCTTCACTTCGCATACGACCGCGATTGCCGCAAAACTCCAGAGCCAAAGCAAAATACTCAAAGAGCTAGCCAGCAGCACCTGAGGTAAAGACATAGAAACCTTGCTGGCAACTTACAAGGCAATGGGCCGGCCGGTGTGTTGTTGTTGTTGAAACCGTAAAAATATTCCCCAAAGTACTTTTTGGGGAATGTTGAAGGAGTGACAGTCCTCGGCTGGATAAAAATCCGGGTCGTTTTGGCATAGACTCGACTGCCGCGGGAACTATTGGATTTTAGTCGCCTCTTACGACAGGCAAGCCTTACCGCGGGTAAATTCTTGAGTCCCTAACCCGCAGGGTAAGTGTGGGAAGATGAAGATGGCCAGTGCTCCCGGAAGCTAATAGTAGTTCCGAAGTTAAGGATTCCGGATGTTCTTAAGGAATTCCATAACGGTCCTAGTGGAGGGCACCTAGGAATTACAAAAACGCTGGAAAAGATCAAGCAGCGGTTCTATTGGGTTGGCTGTCGGCAATCGGTCGCGGAGTGGATTGCTAATTGCACGGAGTGCATAGCAGCTAAAGGGCCAAAGTCTCGAAGTCATGGGCAGATGAAGCAGTATAACGCAGGGGCACCATTTGGGCGGGTGGCCATGGATGTAGCCGGTCCATTCCCTATGAG